GTAATTTTTGTGAGCTCGCAGAAAAAGACATTTCATTGCCAGCAACTACTGCTGCACGCCGTATTGTTGTGCATTTGATAAATAAACTTTGATTTGATTTTGATTTGATTTGAACAGGTCAGTGGACAATGCAGTCTTCCTGAGACTCTATGATTTATTTCAACATCTAGAATCAGCCAGCATGTATGTCTGGATCCTCTTTATTGATTACAGTTCTGCTTTTAACACAATGTTCTCTCTCAAACTTTTTGATAAGCGGGTATTAATTAGAGTCTGTGTTACTGGCTACTGGATTTCCTTTCTGATAGGAAGGAGGTGGTGAAGCTGAAGGATACCATCTCTAAGCCTCTCACCCTGAACACAGGCTACCCTCAGGATTGTCTTCTCACCTATCCTTTACTCACTGCACAAATGACTATTTCATATTGAGATTCGGTCAAAATGTTCAAGCTCGCTGATGATACTTCTCTTATAGGGCTCATCACAAACAATGATGAGTCGGCACACAGGAATAAAGTATTTGAATTATTTGATCAGTGTAATAATTGATCAGTATGACATAACTAAATGTCAATAAAACAAAATAACTTGTGATGGACAAGGGAGTACTCTCACCACTATACTGTACAGTACATCGATGGTTAGGTTGTAGAAGTGATGGAGAATTTCCTTTGCACCACCATCTCCAACACTCTAAAATGAGTGGTCAACACATCCATTATGGTCACCAGAGGCTGCTCTTTCTGAGACAGTTTAAGACATTTGGAGTGTCACAGTTCCCCTCTTGTGAAAGCTAAGGTTGCTGCTGGAAGAGGTGTGAGTCAGGCCAGCAGGGGGCGCTCACCCTGCGATCAGTGTGGTTCCTGATAACCCGGCATAGTGACAGGGACAGTATACTGTAAAAAGTGGCCGTCCTGCGAAATTAGATGTAAAACCGAGGTCCTGACTCTTTGTGGTCATTAAAAATCCCAGGGCATTTCTTGAAAAAAGCAGTATTACTTCAGAGTCTTGGCCAAATGTCCATTGGCCTTTACCAGCCATCCTAATAATCCATAT